TAGACAATTATCGAATACACTTAGGTGCGATAATAGTGGTGAATGATTCGATAAGACTGTAATAATGATTTAGACTGTAAGCAGTCCTCTAAAAATAGAGTATAAATAGCGCCTGGCGGAGTTGGAAGACCCTCATTCCAACTCGCCACTTTAGAAAACCTTGCAGGAGTTCGCTTGCCCACCCACCCTCTACCTGAATAGAGACAAGTGCGTATATAGGGTAGGCTAGTCCGTTGTGTCTTCCCAGGGGGTGATTCGAGTGTGTTCGATCACCCCCCAGTCACAGACTTTACTAAAAGCGGCCCCTGCCTATTTCCCCCAGTCGTTCGCAATATTCAGTCACGCTACCTCCGAGCCGAGAGAGCTCGGACTGGCAATCACGGTCAACCCGGCCGGCAGGCCGTGCATATATACACAACCTATTTACCGGTTTTTATTTTGCGGCCGGCCATGCATGAATCATGATGGAGCCTCGGCCCATGATACGCACAATCTGCATTCCGGCCCTGCGAAAGGAACAATGCAGTGTCTGCACCAGCTCGTGTCCAGACGGTGAGTACAAGGGAGCCATCTTAACCGGTAACCGGACGTCAGGACGAACAAAGCTGGCCGAAGGGGGGCCGAAGCTCCGAAGTATAGCTAGCTAAGTAGCAAAGGCTATTATTCAAAGCCAGTACTACAAGGCTACTACAAGAGAGTCTCCCAACATTTCAAATACATCGACACCTTTCACGGGGGACGTCGACGTCGTGGTGGGAGCTCATCATGGCAGCCGTGTCAAGGCTTCAGCCTTTCAGCTGCTGCACCACTGTTACATGGCAGGCCAAGAGGCCAGTCGGCCAGCCTACCGCTACCTTAGCACGCCGCCCGACAGTCTTCCGGCCCAGCACAATCACAAGGTCCTCTGAAACAAAGGCGGGCCCCATTGGAAGGGTGCGCATCTTTCAGCCTCGCAATGCAGTTTTCCGCCTACCAGTAATCAGCAAAGAGGCCCGACACCACTTTGCGCCAGTTGTGCGGTGCGCCGCACATGAAGTTGCTACTCATGACATGACAGCTGGCCGGCAGTTCACACAACATGTTCCCGAGGAGCAAGGAGAGGTGGCAAGCACCAGTCCACTTGCCAATCTGTTTGGCACGGCTTGTCTTTCTAGAAGGAGTGAGCAGGTTGACAATGCTGTGGGTTTGGTGTTCAACACTTACCGAGAGCCTCTGATAGAGGCGCCGCCGGCAGATGCAAGACTGCCCCTTGACGCCACCTGTCACATCTTGACGGAAGGAAATATACAAGATCCGATCCTGCAAGCCCAGATTGACGCCCTCTCAGAGGAGCAAGCAATCCTGAAAGCGTCCTTCCCAGCTTCCCACGATGGACCCCTACCTTTGCCTGACTCCCTGGAATGGCGACTGTCAAGCCTTTCGCGAGTTACCACAGTCGACGAACCCCCCCCAGAGAACACAATCCAGAAACTTCAAAACATGCTTAGGGGCACTGCAAGGCTTCTAGGGGCGCTAGTACTGGCCTTTGCTTTTGCTCTCTGTACCCCCCACCCTGCGCCAGCGGCCCGCAGCATGGGTCGCGCAGGCGGGGGGGGGTTCTCCAGCAGCCGCTCGAGTAGGGGGTCCAGCCGCTCGAGTGGGCGTTCCAGCCACTCTAGTTCTTCCCACTCCCACCGCTCTAGATCTTCCAGATCTCGCCGTTCTGGTCTTCGCGTTCCTCTCCCAGTTGCGGCGGTTCTGCTTTTGGCTTACATTGCTCCAGAAGTGCTAGGAGCACTTCTTGAGGCCGATCGAGCCCGCGCTGATTACAAGTACCTGTACGAGTATTCTTTCTCCCCTTCCACTCGATCAGCCGTCTGCGCGCAGGTGCAGCTGAAAAGCCCGCTGAAAAGCCCCAGCCCAAGCCACTATGATCTTCAAGCTCGTCAGAAGAGCACAGACGGTGAGTGAATTGGACGTGCGCGTCGCGTCTTGTAGGCTCCGCTTCACGGCCCGATACTGCAGGCTTTGAACTCAATTTGACCACAAGCAAGGACTGAAACAATATTGTACTGGAGGCCTGAAGTAGAAAGTTTGAGCGCCTCCTTAGTAGTTTGAAGATATCAGCATTCGCTCTCTTTTGTCGGTTGTATGCAAACGGATCTACAATGAGACAAAATATTACTCTAAGAAAAATAGAACTTTGAAATTTGATTTGGAAGCCAGAGGGTAAAGATAGATTTGAAGGTCCCAGCAAAGAAACCAAGTTTTCAAATACTTCTACTCTAGGACACCGCCTGATGAGAGCATGGTGAGAGCGCAAATCTGCGTGAACGAGTTCAATCTATGTTGATGGGGAGGCATCCGGTTCGGAGCGGTCTCCCTACTGATCCACCACAAAGAGAAGTCTCCACATAGTTTCCAAGCCTCTGAACTGCGTTGCAGGCAGCGGTTCCCCGGAATCCGAAGAGCCGCACCTGAACTCCCACTCCCGTGGCGACACGGCGGCATCAACCCTCGTTCATTCGGGCGGCCCCACCGTGACCTGGCCTTCCTCCGGAGCCGTTTTCCAGTATTCCGATACCAATGACCTGTTGCTGGGGGCCTATTTTCGGAGTTTGAGCGGCGACACGTGGCAGCAGCAGGAGGCTGGAATCGAGTCTCCCGGTCTGAAAGAAGCCGCTGCCGATGCTGAATCCCGGAACGCCAACCTTCCCGGAGAAGGCAGTATTGCGTTGGGGAGTCTTGTTTGGGCGGAAAAGGTGGATAGAATCGAAGAATTTTCTGTAGGGGAGAAAGACGGTTACGTGGGGGCTGACGCCAGCAGGGCCCTGGAAAGGACGCGCGCTGACGTCGGCAAGAGTGGCGCCCTGGAAGGAACGCGCTTGTACGCTTTTGACGCGGATGCGAAGAAGGTCATTACGGTCGTCCAGATTCAGGTTGGCTAAAGATTCGAACGGCTTGCGGCCCTCATGATCTTGTGGAAAACGCCTTAATACGTTCCAATGGAACAAATGATCTCAGATGCTCAACGTCCTGGAACGAGCTTGACGATCTTCCGATTGGTCTTGTAGCAACAGATTTCGGGGGTTCTGATTCGGTAGTGCTAAAGGGACTCTAGACAGCAAATGGAATACGTTCCCTTCAAGGACTCGGTAGGAAAGACACTCTTGACACGTCTGTTGTATTATCTGTTTTCGCATCCATTGGTGTTTCCGTTGAAACACAGCAGTCGTTTTGCTTGCGTTCGGGGGCCTCTTCTTGAGAGTCGCTGATTTGCATGCAGGTTGCTCTGCTGGGCCAGGCCACGTCGGTTCAACTGCAGATGGATAAGTTATGCGAGGAGGCGAAGACGGGCTCTAAGGAGGGACTGCATAATCTTCTAACAGGTGAGCCTTACCTGATTGGTGCGCTTATTAATGAATGACTTCAATGGTTTCCGAGGAATATGACATCCATCCTTGCCTCAAACACATGATAAAGGCCTGACACATGAGAAAACCGTCAACGAAAGGAAAGTTTTTGGGGGCATCTCATGATTGTCAAAGAGTCGGCGCTGCTTATACCGTCTTCTAATATCTCACGCAATCACTAAGGCCTAAGGCCTTAGGGTCGATGAGAAAGATGCTCGGTGCTCAGGAGAATCCGTCTTGAAAGGTGGTTTGAAGAGACGATCAGGCGCACTGGCTTGCACTTATGGAGGTCGTCTGTGCTCTGCAGCCTTCGATGAATGTTTGCAAACAGATTTGCTGCATCACGTGCTCTAATGAACCTTTGCTTCTTTCCAAAAATCAGTCCAGTTTGAACTTATGTTTGAAGAGGCCGGTCAGGACCCGCCGAGTCTTGAATGAAGGCAACAAGAAACCCTGGACTTCGACTTGCAGGGTTCCTAGCGTCTGTGCATCGCCTTGGTATCTGAAAGATGACCCAAAGATCCTTGGTATTCGTTGACAGCTTCACCGACAATAAATGTTTGCGGCTCAATCTGTACCTTGTTATCTTGTGCCTTGCAGGTGCTCGACATTTTGTGGGTGCCTCAGGAAGATGACGACACGCTGACGCACGCCGAGCTTATCGAGAACTTTCCTGATCTGTCGCACATGTGTTACTGTCACGGTTTGTGTTGTGGACCAGGTGGAGATGGCGTTTGTTAAGGAGAAAGCACGGTGTTGTAGACCACAGCTTTGATTGTTGAAGGCTTCTGCCTAGTAGCGTTGGTCTGAACTGGTTAAGACAGGACTGCTCAGGGACCGGTACATATGGTTTTCTGGACGGGGACGGAAAGGATTCATTTTTGCATAGCTAGGACAGTCGTTGTCAATCGTGCGAGACTTGTAGCAGTACTTTGTTGAACGTTTTTCTCCAGCCAAAGCTTGCAGGCGTCTCGCCGAAGGAGTCGGTGGGTACATTACGGATTGTTTCTTCGTAAAGGACATTTGCAGGCCCTAACAATTGTCATTGTCAAGGAGAACCTGGCGTGGAGAAGAAGTTGCACGCCTCGGATTGGAGGCTTGCAGATTGTGGAAGGAAGCCCCATTAATTCTCATTGTCTAAGCGAAGTACTTTCAAAGGGTTTTGATTCAGTTTGTATTCGAACCGGTTCCGCTAAGTCAACAATTACTGTCCTACTACACTAGCTCGCTTTTCTTAAGCAAGTGTGAAATTCACCAGTTGTAATAAACGACCTACGTACAGAGTGAAACGGATTTTCGATCTTCTATCTGCTGTCGAAGGCTTGGATATAATGTGGAACACCGGCCTTCGAACATCACTAGAAGCCGCGAGCAATCATGTGCCTAGGCGACATTTATGGAGGGGCCCATACCGCAATCCCGAGAGCCACTGGCGCTACTGTGATACCGCGCGACAACAAATCACATTGATTCTACGCGCCGCAGCGTTAGTTGGTAGCACTCTTCGCTCAGATCTAACCTCGGATCTATGTAATGCAGTCACACCGTCCAGTATAAGCGACCACGCCAAACTTCAGAAGTCAAATTAAGATCAAATTGAGAAGCGCTGGCAGCCCCAGTCTGATCAACGCGACTTGCAACAATGAGCTATGGGGCCACATCCTGCACAGAAACAGCAATGCAAGCTAGGATTGGTAGGGGCTGGTGACCGCAGTATACGTAACTCCACGTAGCCCCCTCTACCAATCAACCAATGTACGCTCGCTACAGGTCGCGCTAGTTGACACTACTGACTCAAGCAGCAGCTAGCATGTGTATTGAACTGTGGGCCTAGTGCCACTGCCAAGTATGTATGGAGGCTGTGGCGCTCTTTCTCCCTTCTGACCCGCTTGTCTGGCTCTTTCAAAAGTCACAAAGTCTTCCCAGAATTAACAGCGCTTGCCCGATGGGATTCTATGTCCAGCTTGCTGAGGTACTGGGGTACTGATACCCCAGCTGCATCGGCATTTCAAACAATAATCAGTTATTTTTGCCAATTATTTAATCAAGAGATTCATGAATCCTCAGTGAGTGTTTCAAGTTTGTTGAGTGACTCAGTGAACTGAAGCCTCAAGTTCACTACTACGCGCGCCGCGCGCACAAGAACCCCAAGACCGGCATACTCGAACCGTACGATACAAAAAGTGGGAGTCCTGGAACGTTGATAATTGTCGGACACCTTGGCGCCGACTCGCATGTGATTCGCCGCGCAAAGCTCGGCCCTGAGTCGTCGCTCCGACTCGCCTCCCGGGCGGGCGGAAGGCCGTGCTTTGCGGTCGAATGATGGAGCTATAGCCTATGATCATGATGTGCAGTCTGCATTCCGGCCCCGAACGAGTTAGGTACGCCAATGGTTCGTACCTACTAGGAACAATGCATCTGCAGCAGCTCGTGTCCAGGCTGACTACAGGGGAGCCATCTTGACCGGTGAGCTGACGACAAAGCTGGCCAAAGCATAGTTACGTTAGCTTATTATGAAGTAGCTAAGCAAAGACTACAAATCAACGATTCCTAAAAGGCTAGCTACAAGAAAGCCTCGACCCAACTTCTTCAAATACACCGACACCTCAGAGGGTTGTGCGAGCTCGATCATGGCAGCCGTGTCAAGGCTTCAGCCCTTCAGCTGCTGCACCACTGTTACAAGTACCGCTTCCGTAGCACGCCGCCAAAAAGTACTCCCCAGCACAATAACAAGGTTCTCTAGAACAAAAGTGGGCGTCATTGGAAAGGTGGGCGTCTTTCAGCCTCGCAATGCAGGCTTTCCCCTACAGGTGTTCAGCAAGGAGGCCCCGCACCTCTTTGGGGCGCCAGCTGTGCGGTGCGCCACACGAGTTGCTACCCATGATAGGACAGCTGGGCAGCTCACAGAATGTGCCCCTGAGGAGCAAGGAGAGGTGGCAAGCGCCAGTCCGCTTGCCAACCTGTGTAGCACGGCTTTCGTCTCTAGAGGGGCTGGGCAGGTTGACAACGCTGTGGGTTTATTGTTCAAATCTTATCAAGAGCCTCTCATCGGGGCGGCGCCGGCAGGTGCAACAGTGCCCCTTGGTGCCAGCTGTCACATCCTGACTGAAGGTATCATGGAAGATCAGATCCTGCGAGCCCAAATTGACGCCCTCTTAGAGGAGCAAGCAACCCTGAGAGCGTCTTTCCGAGCCCCCCCGGACGGACCTCTCCTCTTGCTAGAGTCTCTGGACCTGCGTCTGGCACGCCTTTCGCCAGTCGCCTCAGTGGACGAGACCCCCTTCGAGAACACACCCCAGACATTTCATAACATGCTTAGGGGCACCGCAAGGCTTCTAGGGGCGCTAGTATTGGCCTTTGCTTTCGCCCTTTGTACCCCCCACCCTGCGCTGGCGGCCCGCAGCATGGGTCGCGCAGGCGGGGGGGGCTTCTCTGGCAGCCGCTCGAGCGGGTCGTCCAGCCGCTCTAGTTTTTCCAGCTCCAGCCGCTCTAGTTTTTCCACCTCCAGCCGCTCTAGTTCTTCCACTTCTCGCCGTTCTCGTTCTTCCAGTTCCCACTGGTCTGCTTCCCCACGTGGCGGCAGCGTTTCGACAGAGGCCCTCACGGATGCCG